GGTGGAGGCGGAAACAAACGGACAGAGTTTTTTCCGCCCTTATTCCCTTGTTCACCTAGCAGTAACTAGGTACCTGGGAGTTAGACAGCTGCTACGGACTGCTTCCTGGGGATGTGGGTGTGTTGGTGTACGTGTAATAAAATACAAATACTAAATGGCTACAGATCGACAGTACACAAGGAAGAGGAACTACCTCCCTGTAACCACTCTATAAAAAGACCTGGTAGTGGACATTACACTAAACCTGTCTCCAGAGGCACATATAAACAGGACGACGTCAGCTGCATACTCTACTCTAGCAAAAGTAAGAACATTCAGGAATCTAATTAAGGAAGCATTTAGTACTGTACATCACCTACGTGAGACCAGTCTTAGAGTATGCCGCTCCATCATGGAGACCTCACCTAAAGAAACATGTTAGGAAACTAGAAAAAGTTCAGAAGTTTGCAGAGTCCCGTCCCAGAATTGCGAGAGAGTTATGAAGAGAGACTGAAGGAACTCAACCTGACAACACTAGAAAAGAGGAGAGAGAAGGGAGTCGTGATAGAGACAAAATGTTCAGGGAAATTGACAGTGGGGAAATAAAGAACATTTTTTCACAATGAATATCAGTAAAATAAGGGAGCATGGGTGGAATAGACAAGAGACTCAGATGAGAAAAAAGACAGTACGAAAATGACAAAGAAAATAATGCAATGATTCAACCCAAATTACTACATAGCCACACCAGAAGGAAAACAACAGTGAAAGGAATAGGTACTGAAACTGAAGATAGGAACAGAAGGAGTTCGCTACAGATGACAAGGAAGTGTGCAAAGAACTCAATATGAAATTCCAGGAAGTCTTCACATTAGGGCATTTTGTTTCATAGATTAGATTCAAAAATTCAAAATTCAAATTCAAATGTTTATTCAGGTAAAGTACATACATACAAGGGGTGATACAAAAATTTATAGATTTATAGATAGAGTTAGTACATACAATGCCTAAAGCCACTATTACGCAAAGCCTTTCGGGCAGGAAAAACACTAGACTTAAACTTAATACTAATTGAGATTAAAGTATAAAATGTGTTGAGAAAATATAAAAGTAAAAAAGGGGGAACATGGCAGAAAAACAGAAAAAATACAATTTGGTTGACAAAGAGCATTGTTTAAAAATAACAGACATGGGTTGACATTATAGGGGTAAGGTAGGTTACAGGGAGTTAATTAGGTAGTGCTTAGTTTTTATCTTAAACTGGTTGAGAGAGGTACAGTTTTTAACATGATTGGGAAAGTCATTCCACATTCTGGGTCCCTTGATTTCTTACTCTTGGAATATCAAAAAGGTATTTGCTTCTGGTGTGGTGCTCATGGGTTCTGTTACAACCTTCAACGAAGCGTTTAAGGTCAGGATTGGCATTACAGTTCAGCGTTTTATATATGTATATATAATACACATGAGAGGATGTGCAGTAACTTAATATCTAACATATTCAGAGATTTGAGTAGGGGTACCGAGTGATGTCTGGGGCCAGAGTTGGATATTATCCTAATAGCAGCTTTGTGTTGAGTAATTAGAGGACGTAAATGATTTTGGGTAGTAGAACCCCAAGCACAAATACCATAGTTGAGATATTGATAGATGAGGGAGTAATAGAGCGTCACCAGGGCAGGGCAAGGTACATAATATCTGATCTTAGAAAGAATGCCAACAGTTTTTGAAACTTTTTTTGATATATTTAGATGTGTCCCTGGAAATTCAGCTTGTGGTAAATGAGAACGCCAAGGAATTTGCCATCTATTTTGTTACAAATTTGGGTATTGTTTATCCTGAGATTTATTTGATTTGAGGAATTATTGCCAAACAGAATATAGAAAGTTTTGTCAATGTTAAGGGCGAGTTTGTTGGCAGTTAGCCAAAGATGGACTTTATTTAGCTCAGTATTTACTGTGGCATTTATAGCAAGGGGGTCAGGACTGGAGTAAATGAAGGTTGTGTCGTCAGCAAATAGAATTGGTTTGAGGTGTTGGGAGGCATTTGGAAGGCCATTAATGTAGATGAGAAAGGAGAGAGGGGCCAAGTATGCTGCCCTGAGGAACACCAATGTTGATGGGTAGGGTGGGAGAAATTAAATTATTCACAGAAACATACTGGAGCCTGTCAGTAAGGTAAGACTGAAGGTATTGCAGGGAGTGTCCTCTGACTCCATAATGATATAATTTAAGAAGAAGGTTTCGGTGGTTGACAGTGTCAAAAGCCTTACGCAGGTCCACAAATAACCCAACAGGGAACTCCTTTTTATCAAGAGCTGAATGTATCAAGTTAATCATACTAATAAGTGCATCGTTAGTGCTTTTTTTGGGTCTGAAGCCATATTGACAAGAGCTAAGTATATTGTGTTTGGCTAGATAAGAGTAAAGCTGCTTGTAGATTAGTTTTTCAAAAATTTTTGACAAGTTAGGCAGGATTGATATAGGTCTGTAGTTGTTAACATCTGTGAGATCACCACATTTGTGGACAGGCGTTACTCTCGCTTTTTTTAGAATATCTGGAAAGGTTTGGAGTTCAAGTGACTTGTTGAAGAACAATGCAATAGCAGGGGCTAGAGATCTGGAGGCTTTTTTGTAGATTAAAGTTGGTATCTCCTCAAGGGCACTAGACTTGTTTTTAAGGGAAAGGATTATCTCATTAACATCAGTGGAATTTGCAAGCGTTAGGTACAGAGACTGTGGATAGTTACCTCTAAGATAGTCCTGAACATCAGTACTGGAAGATGAAATGTCATTTGCAAGGGATGACCCAATGGAAGAGAAGAACCTATTGAACTCAATAGCAGTATCAGAGGCTGTAAGCTGACCATCGTTATTGGACAGGAGTGTTGGTTTGTAAGAGAGGGTATATCTAACCAGGCACCACTGGAGCAGTTTGAGATTACCAATGAGGAGGCGAGGAAGCATTTTCTTGAGCTGGATGTTACAAAGGCCATAGACCCAGATGGAATCTCACCGGACACAGTTGGAAACTTAGTACCCAAATGAGCCACAGAGACGTTAGAAAGAATTTTTCAGTGTCAGAGTAGTTAGTAAATGGAACGCATTAGGAAGTGATGTGGTGGAGGCTGACTCCATACACAGTTTCAAATGTAGATATGATAGAGCCCAGTAGGCTCAGGAATCTGTACACCTGTTGATTGACGGTTGAGAGACGGGACCAAAGAGACAAAGCTCAACCCCCCGCAAGCACAAATAGGTGAATACAAATAGATGAGTACAGTGTGTGACACAGGGGGCCTCGCGGCTGAGTGGACAGCGCTCGGGGTCGTAGTCCTAAGGGCCCGGGTTCGATTCGCGGACGAGGCAGAAACAAATGAGCAGAGTTCCTTCACCCATGATGCTCCTATTCACCTAGCAATAAATAGGTACCTTGGGTTAGACAGCTGCTACGAACTGCTTCCTGGGGATGTGTGTGTGTTAGAGAGAAATATATGTAGTAGTGATAATAGAGGAAAAATAAATTGGTTAGAAAGGCATGATCCAAGAGCTAATAGCTCGATTCTGCAGGCACAAATAATAAATAGTAAATACATACAGAGTGTGTGTGATGGTAATACCACAAGGAGCCAGTGACCATTGTGTTCCTTTTAGTTTAGTTCATTTATTATGCACCCCATACCCATCGTGTGGGCGGTAGTGGAAAGGGTTACAGAGGCACATAATGGGGTGTCGTAGTCTCTGACTACATGATGGAACTTAACATTGTGACCAAAAGGGACAAGAGGTCTGGGAAAGGAGAGTTAATTACAGGAAAGGATTGTAGATATAAGAGAATATTAGTTCTAATGTATAGACTCTTATGTTGTGGAAATATGGATCTGGGATGGCATGAACATGTCCGCCATACGTGATCGGCCACAATAGGCATGTGTCTTGCTTCTAGTAGCTTCTGTGTACATTAATGGTTAATACAGATCTGAATGTGGCATGCCTTAGGATCTAATGATAGAAATTGCACTCATTTTACCAGTTTACAGGTTTAAGCTTGAATCCTCACACACACACACACACACACACACACACACACACACACACACACACACACACACACACACACACACACACACACACACACACACACACACACACACAAGAACCTGTCCTTTTAAAAATAACCTCGCTTTTGGCTGTTTGCCCGTATGGCCGAATTTGGACGTAATTTGAAAATGAAAAAAAAAGTGAAAATAAATTTGGGATTTTTTTTCATCAACAGTAAGTTAAGGGTTCTCTGATAGGTTAGGTGGGCAGGAAATTCTCATAAAGTTTCAAAACGTTATGAAAAACGTTAATTTAAAGTGTCCTCTCATAACCTCTGTGCGTACGCCGGACGACTCAAACAGAAAACGGAACAGAACGTCACTTTTGTGAGTCGATTTCATTTCAAATTACGTCCAAATTTGGCCATAGTGCGCATACGAGCCCAAAGTGACGTTATTTTTAAGAGGACGGGTTGCACACACACACACACACACACACACACACACACACACACACACACACACACACACACACACACACACACACACACACACACACACACACACACACACACACACACACAAACACGTAGTTTGGTTGAATATAGTTCAATAGCGGTACATATAGATTTTCTTGTGCAAGACCTTATTAGTTTTTCATTTTGTAACAGTAATTATTATACAAATTAACAGTGCCCCCAAAGAATATAATATGTAGATATGTATATAATGAAGATATGCAGATATAAATTATTATAATATGTATAAATATATAATATGTAGGTCATAGACAATTTCCTTAAGAAAAAATATGTATATGCAGTACGTGTCTAATATGACATGCCTAGCATGCCTTCATATAAAATTAAATTAACAGAGATATCCTGAAAATCTAACCATCAATTCAGGTAAATCAAGGTAAATTCGGGTAAATGAATATCAATGTAGCGGAGTTGACAGCGAGGATCCGTATTGTTTACCTCAGCCAGGGTCAGGACCGACGGCCGAGCGACCAGACCTGCTCCGGGGCTCCTTCAGCTCGCCTCACAGGGCCATCCCTCACGATGCTCTCCTCTCCAGCGCCTCGCACGGGGGCTCCAAGGACGAAGAGGGCAAGGCTAAGTATAATGTAAGCAGTGTCAGGCACACACGCACTCGGCAGGTTGGCTATTGTACCTGTCTCACAGTTATCAGGTAATGAGCCCGCTAGTACAGGCGGGTTCCTTCTCAACTCACAATCCAGAATTCCGGATTCGAATCCCTTGGAGGGACAGAAGTGGTTGGGAGCATTTCCTATCGCCTAATGCTCCTGTTAACCTAGCAGCAAGTAGTCAGTTTCTTGTGGGGTTTCATCTTAGGGGGGTTCTGTAATTGACCTCGGGGGTTGGACATTGATATAAGCTTAACATGTATTAACACACACACACTGGCTGCCTGTCCCCCAACACAGTGAATTATTACTTGTACCTGGTTGGTAATTATCAACTATGAGTCTTTATACCTGGTTAATTATTGTCAGGTAATGACCCTAATACATGTTTGGTGATTATCAGGTAATTAATATTACACCTGGTTGATAATTTTCAGGTAATATCACACCTAGATGGTAATTATCAGATAACTAATAACACATCTGTTTGGTAATTTTCAGGTAATTAATCTCACCTGTTTGGTACTATCATGTAATGAGCCTCATACCTGGTTGGTAATTATCAGATAATTGTCAAGTAATGGACCTCATACCTGCTGTGTAATTATCAGATAATTATCATGCAATGAACCTCATACCTGGTTAGTAATTATCAGGTAATGAATCTTTTACCTGGTTGATAATTGTTAGGTAATTAACCCTATAATTGGGTAATATAAAAAGGTCAGAGGTTAACTGCTTCTTCTCTGTTATCAGGTAACTAAACTAGCATTTATATACCTAATCTGTATTTGTTAGGATTTAGGTTATGAAACTTGTCCCTTGTATTGGTAACCTTTAGCATGGGTTCATCACTGCCACCACAACAACAAATGGAAGTATTTGGTAGGTCTGTATGCTAACAATTTCTGTCTTTTGTTTTACTGAATACTGTAAAAGGTGTCAGTAGCCTGACATCAAACTGACAGTATTTGCAGGATCAATTTAGTTTCATGATACTAGTGACCTTAGACCCTTGACCAGAACACTGTGTACTATGGCCTACACAGCTATAATTGTCTAAATTCTCATTCCATTATATACATTTTGTGTTTAATAAATGTGTAAAGTTTTAAAGAGGCCCAAGTAAAAGGAGACAAGTAATTCCTCGGCCTCTTTAACAACATGCCTAGAACACCTTTCCATATGGCAATTTTCTTGCTTGTAGCAGTTAGTCAACAAATAAAAACAAACCCTAATGTTGCCCAAGACCACATAAACCCTGTACTAAATTTTCAGTACACCTTTTGGAGTCCCAATTGACATTTTCTACATCACTTGGTGTGTTTCCTGAAGCAAAGGTTTGTCCCTCCCCCATGTTTACTTCCGAGCACCACAAGAGCGTGAAAGAGGTTGCACGAAACTTGGATGTTTCAGACCCAAGCAAAATCATATATAGTCACATAGTGTTGCATCCTCGATAACCTGTTATATGTTGAGAACCTTCCTGGACTCACTGTATGAATGACCCTCGACCTGACCCCGCAGGGAGACTTCGTCCACCTCAGGTACTTCTACGTCCCGACTGGCAACTTCGAGGTCAAGAACAGGACAATGACCCTCCTGAAGCAGGTCAGTGGACATCCAGACTGGGTCTTGGCGCCATCGCTTTCGTTTTCCACCACTAGACTGACCCCTTAATTCCTGACCTACGTTCTTGTTTTAAACATTTTGGTGATAGCTCATAACCCCATTTAACTTGGCCCTTACCTCTTTTCTTCATCCAAAACCTTTCTTCTTGGCAGTTTTGCCCTGTTATATTTATTTGTGAACAATTGTTTTGAATCTTGACCCACTGCATTAATCTCCAACCAGTTGTATTAAGCCCTGCCATAGTGTCTTGATCTGTAACCCCTTTTCTTATCCCCTGACCCCATTGTCTTCATCCATCACCAATGGTCTTGACCTCTGACACTGGGCAATTACATTGGTGCATATATTGACCCTATACTACTGATTTGTCCTGCCTCAGCATTTGTCTTGATACCTGAGTTTTGTTTAATAATTGTTATTGTTAAAGCATAGCTTGATTAGTATCAGTGTCATTGTAATTATCATTATTGTTTGCATTCTAATTAGTATTAGAATTATTGTCAGGGTTTAAGTATAAAAATTCACTTTCTTTTAGAAGTTGTAGACTGGGTTTGAGAATCACTGTGAAAAAGTATTTGATTTTTCTGTTTGTTAGTATGAGTGATGTGACAATAGATCTGTACCTTCAATAAAGCAGAAGTCAATTACGCGCTGAGTGTATAAGAGCAGAAGTCAATACCTACTGAGCGTATAAGAGCAGAAGTCAATACCTACTGAGCGTATAAGAGCAGAAGTCAATACCTGCTGAGCGTATAAGAGCAGAAGTCAATACCTGCTGAGCGTATAAGAGCAGAAGTCAATACCTACTGAGCGTATAAGAGCAGAAGTCAATACCTACTGAGCGTATAAGAGCAGAAGTCAATACCTGCTGAGCGTATAAGAGCAGAAGTCAATACCTGCTGAGCGTATAAGAGCAGAAGTCAATACCTGCTGAGCGTATAAGAGCAGAAGTCAATACCTGCTGAGCGTATAAGAGCAGAAGTCAATACCTACTGAGCGTATAAGAGCAGAAGTCAATACCTGCTGAGCGTATAAGAGCAGAAGTCAATACCTACTGAGCGAATAAGAGCAGAAGTCAATAACCTGCTGAGCATATTAGAGCAGAAGTCAATACCTGCTGAGCATATTAGAGCAGAAGTCAATACCTGCTGAGCATATTAGAGCAGAAGTCAATACCTGCTGAGCATATAAGAGCAGAAGTCAATACCTGCTGAGCATATTAGAGCAGAAGTCAATACCTGCTGAGCATATTAGAGCAGAAGTCAATACCTGCTGAGCATATTAGAGCAGAAGTCAATACCTGCTGAGCATATTAGAGCAGAAGTCAATACCTGCTGAGCATATTAGAGCAGAAGTCAATACCTGCTGAGCATATTAGAGCAGAAGTCAATACCTGCTGAGCATATTAGAGCAGAAGTCAATACCTGCTGAGCATATTAGAGCAGAAGTCAATACCTGCTGAGCATATAAGAGCAAATTCAAAAATCCCCCCCTAGGTATGTACAAGTAGAAGTCAAAGTATTCATAGCTTATATGTACAAGGGAAAGTTGATAACTCCTGAGCTCACATTTATGTCAGAAGCTAAAGACCCCTCAGCCTAAATATACAAGGGAAACTTAGTGTCCCCTTAGACCATGCATATACGAGGAAAAGTGAATGACCTCTTAACCACTGCACTGCGCACCTGGTTTCGACAAAAACTTCTTAGTGCCATTATCAAGAGTATATTTTTGCTGTTTTCATAAATGTTCAGGTAAAGTTAATGTCAAAATGTTTCCAAACTCAACTACAGTGGGGCCTCGATTTACGATGGTAATCCGTTCCCAGAAACATATCGTAAGTTCCAACGATTTTTCCCATAAGAAATTAAGGGAAATGAATTAATCTGTTCCTAACTTCTCAAAAAATGAACTTCAAAGTAAATTTTATACCTAATTCACCCAAATCCTCACTACAAAAGTATGTACAAGTTATTAGTTACCTTTACTGATGATTCCTGTTGGCGTATGGAAGATGGTGAGGACGGGGGAGGAGGAGAGGTGCTACTCTTTGGAAGGAAGTCTCCTTCCATTATAACATTAGGCAGTGATGATTTCTCTGGGGTAAACTCTCTCCTATGTTTTCCCTGCATACCAATAGGACCTGGTTGTTGTTCACTGCTAGTTTGTTTTGTCTCACTAAAAATTTGTCTAGCGACACTTGTTTTTCCCTTCGTTTTAACAATTGTCTGTAGTGATGCATCACAGTGTCATTGAAAAGATTAAGGCAACGGCCTACTGCAGCTTAATTTGGGCGAGTCGTTTCAGCAAAAGTTTAGTTCTTCCCATGCTGCACACATTTTCTTAATTTTTTAGGAAGGGATATTCTGTACTGCCTCTATGGTCATCCTCACATGTGTTTTCATATGTTGAACCTTACCACTGACTTTCTTGGGACCCATGGCGTGATATATAATAATCTGGGACCCATGGCGTGATATATAATAATCTGGGACCCATGGCGTGATATATAATAATCTGGGACCCATGGCGTGATATATAATAATCAGTTTAAAGTTCAAAAAGCAAAAAATCACCCAAAAAAATTGAATTTCTTATAAGCGTGATGGTCACTAAGCGGGCGGCTCTAGTAAACTGAGGCAGGTCGGCCCGCACGACCGGGAACCATGCGCTCGGTCGACCCAAACATGTATCAACAAATATCGTTTGTCGATGACACTATCGTAAGTCGAGTTGCATTTTCCGATTAAATATATATCGTAACTCGAAATTATTGTAAGTCGAGGTGCCACTGTATTTCGATTTCAAACCACAAAGAGTAATGAAAACATTAAAAAATATTAAAATATAACCAAATTAAAAAAATAGCTCAATTCTCAGAGCTCCTAATTGTGCTTTGCGCAGCACAGTGGTTAATACAAAGGATGAAGTTGTACATAATGTGAAGTCAATGACCATTTAGTCCCTACATATAGACGTGAGGAGTTATATACAAAGGTAAGTATAAACAAGGGTAAGCCAAATGAAAGCAAAACACAAGTGAGGGAATATAGTTTTCAGTTAAAACCCCTTCCTATGTGTTAGTGCTCGAGTCCTCTGTGAAGTGGCAGCTTAGAGGAATAAATTGCAAATTGGGTAGATATACAGAGGTTTTGTTGAAAGAATCCCATGAAGATATCAGGTGAACTGTCAACGAACTAAATACGTGATGAATATTTACTCTGCCCAATTTCCACTTTGAAGATTGCAATGAAACAGACTCGTATATTAGTGTATAAAATATGTTTTAGAATGGCTTGAAATTTCCAGATGCGTGACCTGAGGCATGAAAACATTAATGGTTTCTTGGGAATGCTGTGTGATTCTGTGCGACCTGGCCTGGTGTTCGATTACTGTCACCGAAGATCATTAGAGGACATAATCAAACAGGAAGATATCAAGTTGGATTGGTCCTTTCGGCTATCACTGCTCACTGACCTTGTTAGGGTAGGTTTTTGCCCTTTTATATAGCATAATGTGTATATGTTTCTTTGTTAAAGCTGGTAAATGTGTTTGTATCATACTAAAGTTGCGTTGCTCAGTTGTGAACCATGTGTCAACCCCTGCAGGGCATGAGGTACCTACATGGATCCCTCTTGCGTCACCATGGCCGCCTCACCTCACGAAACTGTGTTATTGATGCCCGTTGGGTCCTGAAGGTGACGGACTATGGATTACCGGGGATATATGAGTATCAGAACCTCACCCATCCCAACAAACCCATCCGTGGTAAGTTTTTTCTCATGCACCCTTTGGATACTTCTGTGGTTTCTAGTATATAATGGGCATAACAGTCTTTCTTGAAAGTCATGGTTGTCTACCAAGCCCGCACATAAACTCTTGTATTACAATATTCATGCTGCCTACCATCATGCATCGCTGCCATTTCTGGAAAAAATTATTTTTGCTTTTATAATGGTTGTACTGTATACAATATTTCTACAAAGAGCGTATCTTAATAGTCAAGATGTTCATGCTATATGTCATAAACAAACCTAATGATACATAATCCCCACAGAAATAAGTACAGAACATTTTGTTGTTTATACTTAATGTATTCTAGAGATAGTTCAGTTAGTCATCCATATAGTCATCTTTAATCTGCTTCATTACCACAGACCTCCTATGGAAGGCACCGGAATTGTTGCGAGACGAGGCTCTGATGACGAAGGGGACACAGCCAGGAGATGTCTTCTCCTTCGCCATCATCATGCAAGAGGTGGTGGTGCGTGGGGCTCCTTATTGCATGGTGCAACTCACACCTCAGGGTAAGTTGCTCACGTTCATACATCATACAACTCACACCTCAGGGTAAGTTGCTCACGTTCATACATCATACAACTCACACCTCAGGGTAAGTTGCTCACGTTCATACATCACACAACTCACACCTCAGGGTAAGTTGCTCACGTTCATACATCATACAACTCACACCTCAGGGTAAGTTGCTCACGTTCATACATCATACAACTCACACCTCAGGGTAAGTTGCTCACGTTCATACATCATACAACTCACACCTCAGGGTAAGTTGCTCACGTTCATACATCATACAACTCACATCTCAGGCGAAGTTTGACCTTTTAGTGTACCATTCAATTCTGCCCTCATGCTAAGGAACACGCACTTAAAGTGACGCTGGACCCTTTAACACATGGACATTGTTCACGACTGAAGTATTCCTGAAGATCAATGAGAAATATATATATATATATATATATATATATATATATATATATATATATATATATATATATATATATATATATATATATATATATATAATATCTATATATCATATACAGGCATACCTCAGAATGCGAGTTTAATCCGTTCCTGGAGACGCCTCGCCTTCCGAAAACTCGCATTCCGAAGTTAATTTCCCCATAAGAAATAAAGGGAAATGAATTAATCCGTTCCTGACTACCCCAAAAACCCCACATCAAACTAAATTTTTATACCTAATTTACCTAATTCATCTAAATAAACCTACAAAAGTATGTTCCAGTTATTACTTACCTTACTGTCGAGTGCTGTAGGCGTATGGAAGATGGTGAGGAGGGGGGAGGAGGAGAGGAGTTAGTGTTTGGAAGGGGAGTCCCCTTCCATAATCACATCAGGCAGTGAGGACCTTTCTGGTGTGCTCTCCCTGGGACGTTTAACCTGAGTGCCACTAGGTCCTGGTTGAGGTTCACTGCTCGATTTCTTCACCAAATATTTGTCCATGAAAGCTTGCTTTTCCCTTCTTCGCAAGCTGTCTCTGTAGTAAGGCATCACATTGTCATTGAAAAGATTAAGACAACGGCCTACTACAGTTTTGTCTGGGTGAGTGTGTTCAATAGTTGTTTGAATCTCTTCCCACATCTGACACACCTTCTTAATTACTGCAGAAGGGACATTCGCTGGTGCTGTTGCCACCACCTCCTCCTCCACTGCAGAATCATTCGCTGCTGTGTTGGCTTGCTGTTCCTGTTGAAGGGCTAGGAGTTCTTCGGTGGTCAGTTCTTCGTTGTGTTCTTCCACCAACTCCTCCACATCATCACCATCCAATTCCAAGCCCATTTTCTGGCCTAGACTAACAATTTCCTCAACAATAGGCGCATCATTTATAGGCTCAAACCCCTCAAAGTCTAGTTCTCTCACACCTTCAGGCCACAATTTTCTCCAGCCAGAGATCAGGGTTCTTTGAGTCACTTCTTGCCAGGCTTTGTCAACGAGTTTTAAAGCACTAAAAATGTTAAAATGCTCTCTCCAGAACTCTTTGAGGGTGAGGTTTGTGGCTTCAGTCACTTCAAAACATTTCCGGAAAAGTGCCCTTTCATACAGTTTCTTAAAATTCGCTATGATTTTCTGGTCCATAGGCTGAATTAGAGGAGTGGTGTTAGGAGGAAGGAATTTAACTGTGAGGAATTTATTGTATTGAGGCATCAAATCATCTTCCAAGCCTGGAGGATGAGCAGGAGCATTGTCAAGGAGAAGCACGGCTCTGAGTGGCAATTGTTTCTCCTGCAGATATTTTTCTATGGCAGGGCACAGCACTTCATTCACCCACTCCGAAAAAATAAGCCTAGTCACCCATGCTTTTTTATTAGACTTCCACATCACAGACAAACGGGTTTTCTGCACATTATACTGTTTGAAAACCCTTGGATTTTCAGAATGATACACTAGCAAGGGTTTAATTTTTAAATCGCCACTCGCATTTGAACACAGCACAAGCGTAAACCTATCTTTCATAGGCTTGTGTCCAGGCAAGGATTTTTCCTCCTTGGTAATGTATGTCCTCTTAGGCATTCTTTTCCAAAACAGTCCTGTTTCGTCACAATTAAACACTTGTTGCGGTAGGTATCCCTCAGCCTCTGCAAACTCTTTAAATTCGTCAATAAATCGTCCAGCGGCTGGTTTGTCTGAGCTGGCTGCCTCCCCATGCCTTGTAACACTATGGATACCACTTCTCTTTCTAAATTTTTCAAACCAGCCCCTGCTTGCCTTAAACTCTTTCTTATCTGCATCACTCGTTGCAGGGGTCTTCTTTAGAAGGTCTTCGTGCAACACCCTGGCTTTCTCAGAAATAATGGCCTCCGAAACACTATCACCCCTCAACTCCTTGTCGTGTATCCAAATTAATAACAACTTTTCCACTTCTTCAAGTATTTGTGGTCTTTGTGTCGTTAATGTTCTTACTCCTTTTGCCACATTAGCACTCATAATCTTATTTTTCTTCTTAAGTATAGTGCATATTGTTGATGTCGCTTTGTTGTACTGCCTACAAAGATCAACAACACGTGTACCGTTCTCATGCTTTCGAATGATCTCTTGTTTCTCCTCTATTGTCATCCTCACATGAGCTTTCTGGCCTTTATCCTTACCACTGGCTTTCTTGGGACTCATGGTGAGATATATAATAACAAATTGTATAGACAAATCACCAAAAATCCAACAAAACACTGAAAATTCACGACAAGAATTGATGTGGGGGTAGTCACTGCGCGCGAGACAATGGTGAACTGAGGGGCAGCGGGGCAGAGGGGCGACGATCGCCGAACGACCACGCGCTAGGTCGGCTGTACGCGTATAAACAAACTCGCGTTCAAACTCGACTCCCGAAGTAACCATCGCCTTCCGAGACAAATTTTTGGAGTAAATACACCTCGCCTTCCGAAAATCTCGCATACAGGGACAATCGCATTCCGAGGTACCACTGTGTATGTGTGTGTATATATATATATATATATATATATATATATATATATATATATATATATATATATATATATATATATATATATATATATATATATATATATATATATATATATATATATATATATATATATATATATATATATATATATATATATATATATATATATATATATATATATATATATATATATATATATATATATATATATATATATATATATATATATATATATATATATATATATATATATATATATATATATATATATATATATATATATATATATATATATATATATATATATATATATATATATATATATATATATATATATATATATATGTCGTACCTAGTAGCCAGAACGCACTTCTCAGCCTACTATTCAAGGCCAGATTTGCCTAATAAGCCAAGTTTTCATGAATTAATGTTTCTTCGACTACCTAACCTAACTTTTTCGGCTACCTAACCTAACCTAACCTATAAAGATAGGTTAGGTTAGGTTAGGTAGGGTTGGTTAGGTTTGGTCATATATCTACGTTAATTTAAACTCCAATAAAAAAAAATTGACCTCATACATAGAGAAAAGGGTTGCTTTATCATTTCATAAGAAAAAAATTAGAGTAAATATATTAATTCAGGAAAACTTGGCTTATTAGGCAAATCGGGCCTTGAATAGTAGGCTGAGAAGTGAGTTCTGGCTACTAGGTACGACATTATATATATATATATATATATATATATATATATATATATATATATATATATATATATATATATGTCGTACCTAATAGCCAGAACGCACTTCTCAGCCTACTATTCAAGGCCCGATTTGCCTAATAAGCCAAGTTTTCATGAATTAATGTTTTTTCGTCTACCTAACCTACCTAACCTAACCTAACCTAGCTTTTTTGGCTACCTAACCTAACCTTACCTATAAATAGAGGTTAGGTTAGGTTAGGTAGGGTTGGTTAGGTTCGGTCATATATCTACGTTAATTTTAACTCTAATAAAAAAAAATTGACCTCATACATAGAGAAAAGGGTTGCTTTATCATTTCATAAGAAAAAAATTATAGTAAATATATTAATTCAGGAAAACTTGGCTTATTAGGCAAATCGGGCCTTGAATAGTAGGCTGAGAAGTGAGTTCTGGCTACTAGGTACGACATATATATATATATATATATATATATATATATATATATATATATATATATATAATGTCGTACCTAGTAGCCAGAACTCACTTCTCAGCCTACTATTCAAGGCCCGATTTGCCTAATAAGCCAAGTTTTCCTGAATTAATATATTTACTATAATTTTTTTCTTATGAAATGATAAAGCACCCTTTTCTCTATGTATGAGGTCAATTTTTTTTATTAGAGTTAAAATTAACGTAGATATATGACCGAACCTAACCAACCCTACCTAACCTAACCTAACCTCTATTTATAGGTAAGGTTAGGTTAGGTAGCCAAAAAAAGCTAGGTTAGGTTAGGTTAGGTAGGTTAGGTAGACGAAAAAACATTAATTCATGAAAACTTGGCTTATTAGGCAAATCGGGCCTTGAATAGTAGGCTGAGAAGTGCGTTCTGGCTATTAGGTACGACATATATATATATATATATATATATATATATATATATATATATATATATATATATATAATGTCGTACCTAATAGCCAGAACGCACTTCTCAGCCTACTATTCAAGGCCCGATTTGCCTAATAAGCCAAGTTTTCATGAATTAATGTTTTTTCGTCTACCTAACCTACCTAACCTAACCTAACCTAGCTTTTTTTGGCTACCTAACCTAACCTTACCTATAAATAGAGGTTAGGTTAGGTTAGGTAGGGTTGGTTAGGTTCGGTCATATATCTACGTTAATTTTAACTCTAATAAAAAAAAATTGACCTCATACATAGAGAAAAGGGTTGCTTTATCATTTCATAAGAAAAAAATTATAGTAAATATATTAATTCAGGAAAACTTGGCTTATTAGGCAAATCGGGCCTTGAATAGTAGGCTGAGAAGTGAGTTCTGGCTACTAGGTACGACATATATATATATATATATATATATATATATATATATATATATATATATATATATATATATATATATATATATATATATATATATATATAATATGCAGAATAACCACATGTGAAAAATAGAAAATGCTTAACGCGTTTTCGGCTAATTCGCCTATTTCGGCTAATTCGATATTTTGTGCTTGTGGCCGGTTAATCATGACGAAACTGATTTTCTCAATCAAATTAATTCGCTGGTTCCGTCAATTAAATTCACAATTGAGAACGAAGTGAATGGTGTTCTGCCTTTTTTAGACATCATGATTCATAGAATTGGTAGGAGTTTCAAATTCAATGTGCATAGGAAACCTACCAATGTGTGCTCGTATGTACATTTCTATTCAAATCATCATGTTCAGGTCAAGCGGGCAGTTTTTTCTGGTATGTTTCTCAGAGCACTGAGAGTTTGCAGTCCGGAATTTTTCGACGAAGAAATAGCAAATATATTTGAAATTGGGAAGAAGTTAAAATACCCAAAATCGATCTTGGATCTTGCGTTTGGTCAAGCAAAAAGGACTTTCTACAAACAGACTACTAAGTCTAAACCAGAACTGAAAAATTCGTTGGTATTACCATATTCTGAGGGTCTAGTAAATCTTGCCCCAGCCCTGAAGAACCTTAATATTAATCTCGTGTTCAAAAATGATAATACAGTTAAGTCCATGTTAATTAAGAACTCGCCCTCGTCTGTAGCAGGTTGTGTGTATTTCATCCCTTGTAATGAGTGTGCATGTGTTTACATCGGCCAGACAGGTAAATCTCTTTCCTCACGTTTAAAACAGCATTCATATGCTATTCGTACAGCCCAGCAATCCAGTGCATTGTATTTACATTCCAGCTTATGTAATCATTCTATCGACTTCAAAGGGGCAAAATGTATTATTAAAAGTAAGGATTTTGTTGAACGAAACGTGATCGAGTCTGCTCTGATCAAACACTGTAACAACAGCCTTAATGTGAGCCCCGGTATGTACAAGTTGGATCCCTATTTAAGCCTCAATATAGCACGTCAAAACAATATAGCAATCATTTAACACGTATGGCACTTGGAGATATTAATAGGAGCTGCCTTGTATGGGCCAATAGGCCTTCTGCAGTTACCTTCTTTCTTTCCTCCACTTATTTTTGGTGGTCAGGTGATCTGCCCAGACGGATATAAAGGTCTGATCAGCAATCTTATCTTCATTCTACTTTGCTCTGATGAAGGCGAATTAGCCGAAAACGCGTTAAGCATTTTCTATTTTTCACATGTGGTTATTCTGCATACTTGGATCAGTGTTTTTGTGATCATTGTTGCACATACATACATACATATATATATATATATATATATATATATATATATATATATATATATATATATATATATATATATATATATATATATATATATATATATATATATATATATATGTCGTACCTAGTAGCCAGAACTCACTTCTCAGCCTACTATTCAAGGCCCGATTTGCCTAATAAGCCAAGTTTTCCTGAATTAATATATATACTATAATTTTTTTCTTATGAAATGATAAAGCAACCCTTTTCTCTATGTATGAGGTCAATTTTTTTTATTGGAGTTAAAATTAACGTAGATATATGACCGAACCTAACCAACCCTACCTAACCTAACCTAACCTATATTTATAGGTAAGGTTAGGTTAGGTAGCCAAAAAAAGCTAGGGTAGGTTAGGTTAGGTAGGTTAGGTAGACGAAAAAACATTAATTCATGAAAACTTGGCTTATTAGGCAAATCGGGCCTTGAATAGTAGGCTGAGAAGTGCGTTCTGGCTATTAGGTACGACATATATATATATATATATATATATATATATATATATATATATATATATATATATATATATATATATATATATATATATATATATATGTCGTACCTAATAGCCAGAACGCACTTCTGAGCCTACTATTCAAGGCCCGATTTGCCTAATAAGCCAAGTTTTCATGAATTAATGTTATTTCGTCTACCTAACCTACCTAACCTAACCTAACATAGCTTTTTTTGGCTACCTAACCTAACCTTACCTATAAATATAGGTTAGGTTAGGTTAGGTAGGGTTGGTTAGGTTCGGTCATATATCTACGTTAATTTTAACTCCAATAAAAAAATTGACCTCATACATAGAGAAAAGGGTTGCTTTATCATTTCATAAGAAAAAATTATAGTAAATATATTAATTCAGGAAAACTTGGCTTATTAGGCAAATCTTGCCTTGCATAGTAGGCTGAGAAGTGCGTTCTGGCTACTAGGTACGACATATATATATATATATATATATATATATATATATATATATATATATATATATATATATATATATAATATATACACACACACACACACACACACACACACACACACATATACCAATTTGTGAGGTCAACTCCCCCCACATGTGCCACTCTAACACTGTCTTGGTCATACTGTTGCTACACCTACCGCTCAAACATCGTCTTAGTTTTACTGTCACTGCTTCCGTTGTTGCCTGCAGAAATTCTAGCTCGCTTGAAGAAGCCGCCACCAATGATCAGACCGTCTGTCTCCAAGGGAGCTGCTCCTCCAGATGCCATCAATATAATGAAGCAGTGTTGGGCAGAACTCCCGGAAATGAGACCTGACTTCAACCAGATCAATGACCTCTACAAGAAGCTCAACCAGGGAAGGTTAGTCAACCGAGGGAGGAGAGCCAACCAGTGCAGGTTTCAGAGTAGGTTAGTCGACCAGTTCGTGCGAGTCGACCAGCTCGTGCGAGTCGACCAGCTCGTGCGAGTCGACCAGCTCGTGCGAGTCGACCAGCTCGTGCGAGTCGACCAGGTCGTGCGAGTCGACCAGGTCGTGCGAGTCGACCAGTTCGTGCGAGTCGACCAGCTCGTGCGAGTCGACCAGCTCGTGCGAGTCGACCAGCTCGTGCGAGCCGACCAGCTCGTGCGAGCCGACCAGCTCGTGCGAGCCGACCAGCTCGTGCGACCCGACCAGCTCGTGCGACCCGACCAGCTCGTGCGAGGCGACCAGCTCGTGCGAGGCGACCAGCTCGTGCGAGGCGACCAGCTCGTGCGAGGCGACCAGCTCGTGCGAGGCGACCAGCTCGTGCGAGGCGACCAGCTCGTGCGAGGCGACCAGCTCGTGCGAGGCGACCAGCTCGTGCGAGCCGACCAGCTCGTGCGAGCCGACCAGCTCGTGCGAGCCGACCAGCTCGTGCGAGCCGACCAGCTCGTGCGAGCCGACCAGCTCGTGCGAGCCGACCAGCTCGTGCGAGCCGACCAGCTCGTGCGAGCCGACCAGCTCGTGCGAGCCGACCAGCTCGTGCGAGTCGACCAGGGAAGGTGAAAATCCCTTTTGTTAGTTGCATTAAAGTCATATTATGTTTAACAAACAGTGACAATTAAATTTTGACTTGTCACATTTATGGCATATAGTGTTCATCGTATGTGGGGACCAAAGGTGTCCTGGTTTAGCAGATTTGTTTGACATAAAATATTTGTAGCGAATCTTAGTCAAGTTTTTCAGTCATTGTTAATACAGTAAATACAAGCTTGGCAGTTAAGGATTCCTACCACTGCAGCATTATTAGAATCCTGTGGATGTTGACAAGTATAAATCTTGGTTACAAGTCATCAAACATTTAAGTGTCCTCTTACGACACCTTTACATCGTTTCTCAATCATGATGGCTTTATTTGCATTTATTAAACACTTTGAGCTCTGAAGTCCTATGAGGTTGTCTACAATAATAATATGGTGGGTTGAGAATGCCATAATAGCTTGTAAATTGTTTAATAAATTCAAACTAGGCTGCCATGATCGAGGAAAGATGTTCAGCTTCTGAAAGTGAACACTTTAGTGCTTGATGAATCCTGGCCCTGATTCCTGTGTTATAGGCACTTTATCATGGTAATGTATCAACTTGGTTTTGTTGTTGCAGACGCCTTAACATCGTAGACACAATGTTCCAAATGCTGGAGAAGTATTCCAGCAACCTGGAAGAGCTCATCAGAGACAGAACAGAACAACTAGATTTGGAGAAGAAGAAAACTGAACAACTGCTTAATAGAATGTTACCGAGGTGAGCTAGAGAAAGGTGGTGGGTGGGCGGGTGGGTGGGTTTGGAGGGAAAATTGGACTACTGCCTCATAATCTCCCCATTTCCTTATGATCACATAACATGAATGGCAGTGAAGTACCTGTACTTGGTTTAGCCCCCCCCCCATTATGTATACGCAATAAAGGGGTTATAATTTGACTATAGGAAGAAAACAATTACATTCTCATTCTACCTGAATTTACTTGAGGGCCACCATCTCTCTAGTGACCTGGACGGGGACAGGAAGCTGGCGGCTTGTAAAAGGTCCCTCTACTTTTCCTGATGATTTTATCCTGCTAGATTTTGAACTTCAGCAAATCTTGACATTTACGACTTCAGTGGGTAAGCGGTTCCATGGGGCTGGCAGCCCTGTGGGTGAAAAAGCATCTCCTGTTTTCTGTCTTACATTGTGGCTTGTTGAGCTTGAATCCATTGCTTCTTGCATGTGTTACTTTTGATCTTTTAACCTTTAAAAGGTGCAATACATACATGTATTTAGTGAGAAACTGTCATGAAATGGTGCAGAACATACATATATATGTATTAGATTCTCATGCACGGTTTTAAATGCCCCTGCAGTGGACTGGGGCAGCTATAGTCCAGCCACAGCCGGTAGTAAACAGACGCCATTTTGGAAAAAAATCGTGGGTAACATTCCCGGGTGCGAGAGCCTCAGTACTGAGTGAGCAACCAAGGCTGGTGCATGCAGCATTAGCTAACAGCATTGCTGTTTAGCTTATGAACACAGCATCACATAAAAATGTCCAAATATGTATGTACCTGCTATTATTTAGCAATGATAGTATTACAGAAGACCCCTGACTGTGATAAAAATGACCAGTATTTTGATAATAGCAGGATTGTGGTGATAATTAGCAATGTGCGTAGTATTGTGAGAGGAGTAATCTTGGTGGGGAGGGAGGTAGCATCGTCTGCCGACTCTGTGTGGCTGCTTTTTATTGTCTGGACTCAACATACCAGCTTAGTGGTTCACTATGGTGAACACAAATGTAGATACAGCCACTCATCGATGTTATGACTTACCATACCAACTTAGTGGTTTGTTATGGTGAACAAAACATGCAGATACTTATATATAATCTGTATAATTGCAGCAAAACTATTTGTGTAATTTTTTGTGAACGTAATAATTGAATCGCTAATATGCACACCATACTTTTGAGTATAGCGATGATTCACACACTTTATTTTATAAATATATCAAACTACACACTATTGAATAATGATACTGCACAAAAACTAAGAAAAAATCAATCAGAGACATTTAAATAATTAGGTAATAATGTCTTTGTGGTAACTCGCGCCTGACAGCCTTGGTGGAGCTGACCGCCTCCGACGATTGCTCTGTCAACGCCTACATTTTGCCAGACTTCCTTGCTCCCAAAATAGGTCATTACAATTATTTCCCTCGTGATCAGGGAACACGAATGAACAATTTTATAAGACGAAAAAAAAATGATTTTCTGTGGGGAGCCTCTACGGCTCCCTGGAGCTTATCGGGCTAATGTATGTTATATTAGACCGGGACATTAGCTATGGAGCTCAGACCTACCAAGAACCAGCACCAGAACCTGGCTCCTTCAGAGAGGTTTCAGGGAGCAATGGCCCTGGAAAACCCCCTTGTGGTTGGGGTTTTCCTTATCTGCCATCGACCGGGGTTAGGCACCCAGAAAGGTAGGCCTAACAAAACAAACTCCACACGGTAAGAAACTAAAGCAAAAACCGAACAGAGGTAGAAACTCCCTACAATCACAAGGAAACAAGCAAACATCACACTTTACTGCTGCGCCGCTCGTCCATGCAGCCCTCCCCTCCCTGAGAGGGGGAGAGGGGCCCCCGGACCTCACCGCACCGGCTGCCTAGCATCAGTTCGTAAGCTAATGTCAACCGGGACAAACATTTCTCTGGCCTCAGTTTCTTAGTCAGTGTTTGCCTTTGTGGCTCTTACTGCTGTGTTTTTGTGTTGTGTGGTGGCAAGGTGTTCCTCATCAGTACTGGGGCTGCATGTGCTTGGGGCTTCCTTCCCTAAGCGCCCTGTGAGTACTGCCCCCTTTGACAGGGTTATCTTCCCTGGGGCGTTCGGGAACCATTCCGTTGAGGTTCTTGTTGCTTGGCATTTGCCTCGCCCTTGGGCCCAAGCCAGCTGGGGCTTGGGGGCCTTGTTTGGCCCTGGGTAGGGACTGGTATTGTGCTAGTTAGGGCGTCAAGGTGTTGCAGGTCGGTTAGGGCGTCAAGGTGTTGCGCGACCTGCCACCTAAGCGGCGACCGGTTTCTCTTGCCTTTGGGGCCGGTGCACTTTTGTGGGTTTTTCTTTTGTTTTTATTTTCATTTGCCTGGTGGGGGTCTGCCTAGTGTGGCTATAGTTCCACTGGTAGTGTTTGGTGGCGTCTTGCGAGATATTTTCTCTACTTGTTCTCCCAGTACTCTCCTGATATCCTTACTGTTCAGAGTACAGGTGGCATCTGTGTTGCAAGCTTGGTTTAGGTTGCTGCAACAAGTTAGGTTAGTTTCCCATCTGGATGCCCCAGGGCTGCCCCATTTTGGTTAGGTGCTATTCGCCCCTTTCCCTCCCTGTTTCTGGCTCCTGACCGTCTGCGGGTTTCAGGGTCGGGGCGGGGTTTAGTTGGTGCCAAGACTCGGGCGGCTACAGAGGCTGCTCCGTTCGGGTTGGGGATGGAGATTTTCGAGCCTGTTCCTCCTGCCGAGGCTTCTGGGTCTTATCATGGCCCTTTCTTTGCTGCCTTTCCTTTGGACTCTTCCTTTTCTTTAAGGGCAGAGGGCGTGGAGGATGGCTTTGCTCCGGGGCCTTCTGTTGTGGGTTCCCGGGACTGTGGGGGATGGCTGCTAGCATTTCTGGGGCTGTTTGCCCCTGCCTGGGTTTTCTGCTTCTAGGCGGGGGTTTTCATCCCTCTCATCTTCTTACTTCCCACATTTGCTGGCGTGTTTTTGGATCTATTGCGTCAATTATGGCTCCTTGTTCTGGTGGCCATTTTCTTTCTGCGGGTTTCCCCACTTGGCCACCAAGGCGGGTGCTGCGGTTTGTTTACATGTGCCTGGCTGTGCGAGCTCACATTTTAGGTGAGTTTTTCACCCCTTCAGGAGGTTTTATCCTCCTGTTGCCATTTCTTTGCTTTTTCTGATGGTGTTCTGCCCTTCTTCTATTCCTCTGGGTATACTTGGGTGTTGGTTTTACACCGGTTTTTGCGTTTCCTGTCTGTTGGGTGTCTGGGCTCTGGTGTTTGGGCTCAGTGTCCCTGTCTGTTTATGCTTGCTCCCATGCCTTGTCCCTCGGTTTTCGGTCCGTTTTTTCCGTTTCCCTGGGAGTTTTGTCTGCGTGCTGTGCTTTGCCCTTTTTGTGGTGCATTTCCGCCGACAAATGTAGTGGTTTGGGCTCCTCCGAGTTCGATACCGGGTTCCTTTGGGTTCTTTGGTTTCGTTCAAGAGGTTTCTTTCTCTTGGGCCTCCCCTTTGTGGGTTCAGGGGGATATTCGTTACCCTCATGTGTGACCCTGTTTTGCCTTCTAGGGTACCGGGGGTCTTCCTGGCTTGCAGGCTGATCTTTTTGAGTCTTGGCATGTGTTGTGGTTGTGCCGGAGCCTTGGGGTTTTGTTGTCGAGGTAGGCCTTTTGGTGCAGTTTTGGTGCTTTTCTGGGGGGGAGCCCCTACGGCTTCCGGGAGCTTATTAGGCAGATATGCTAATGTCAGACTTTGGCATCAGTCATGTGTATGGAGTTCTTATGGGCCTACCGGGGACCACGAGCCAGAACCTGGCCCCCTCTAGAGAGGCAAGGGGAGCAATGGCCTATAGAAACCCACGTGTAATTGGAAGCATTCTTTGTCTGCCATCGACCGGGTTAGGCACCCAGAAAGGTAGGCGTCCCAAAACAAACCCCTATTCTTGTGAAAATTGCAACCAAAAGCCGAACGAGTGGATAGAACTCCCCAAACAAAAACGAGCAAACTAGTATGGCGTCATTCGTTGTCGCACCGCTATCTGCACAGCCCCTCTCCCTCCGGGAGGGGGAAGGGGGAGCCCTAGACCGCCGGCGACCCACACCCCAGTTCTTGAGGCTGATGCTATCGGCTCGGTTGTGTGCTCTGGCTCCGGTCTTTTTGCGGCGCTATGCCTTGTGTGTGGCTGCTGTTCTCCAGGGGTGCGAGAGCCAGGAGTTATTCCTCAGTACTCAGGCTGCATGCGCCTAGGGTTCCCTTCCCTAGATGCCTTGTAAGTACTGCCCTTGGAGCTTGGGGTTACCTTCCTCAAGTTCCTCAGGGTCTGCCTCTGTGTGTTCGTTTTACTGCTCAGTTTCTCTGCCGCTCTTTGGGTACTTGGGGGTTTTGTCTCCCTTAGTTTACCTTAGGATAAGATGCAGTTTTTGCACTAGTAGGGGCGCAGGGTGCTGTGCAGATAGTTGTCACCTATCACAGCGGCCGGCTCTGTTCCTTGGGGTACGTTGTCCTCTTGCGGGGTTTTGTTTTTCTTTTTCTTTTTGCCTTGGTGGGGGGTTCTGCCCTAATTGCCACTGGTGTTTGGCCTCATCCTGATACTTGGTGGTGCCCCCTGCTTGGTCCCCGTGAGTGTACACGTCCCTGGGGTTCAGCTTTAGACAGTTTGTTTGGTAGTTTTGGGCGCCAGTTAGCAGTACCCTGCCTGGGTTTACCTGAGCGCGAGTTCTTTTCAAGTAAACGCTCAGGACTTGGGAATTCCCTAGGGGACGCATGGGTTCGATGGATGTGACCCCGGGTCCCCCCTCGCTTTGTGCGAGTTTGAGGGGTTGTTCGGTCCCATTGTCTCAGGGCGACCCTCACTGTTTTTGCCTCCGTCATGCAGCCTGTTGGGTTGGTGACACTTTCGACCCTGAGTCCTGTGAGTATTGTTGCTTGCTGGTGGCTCAATTTACCCAGTCTATGGATGATGATCTTCGGGTACAGGCTGCACAGGCGTTGCATTCTAGGTTTTG